CGTGATGATATCCTGATGACAATCATCACTATGCATCCCCTGCATGCGCAGCAGCTGTCATATCAATCATGACTAAAATGCATCACTGCATTCCAAGCCGGGTTGAACGGCAAGCTTGAAACGTAGAATGCTGATGATCCGGATGCTGCGGCTAGTAAGAGATGATGATGATGACCATGATGATAATGATGATAAGGATGAGGACTGTGATGATAACTATCATCGTAGCATCCTTTGCATTGCCAATGCATCTAACGTTACTTTTGAAATGCATATAAGAACAAGAAAGAGATGACGATGACCATCATGATGATGATGAGAAGAGTGATGATGATGATGATGATGATCAGATGCAGCATTGCTCATGATGATCATGATGATCCTGATGATTATCACTACGCATCTCCAGCATCACCAGCAGTTACCGTGATGATATCCTGATGGCAATCATCACTATGCATCCCCTGCATGAGCAGCAGCTGTCATAACAATCATGACTAAAATGCATCACTGCATTCCAAGCCGGGTTGAACGGCAAGCTTGAAACGTAGAATGCTGATGACCCGGATGCTGCGAACCCATCACCCAACATCAGTGGTGCTGATAAACATCACGAAGACAAGGACGAATACAAGCCCTTCCCATGCGCCTCCCCTTTGGAGAAAGGGGTCGGCGGATTTGACTAGCCTGTCACGACACCAAAAAACAATTGCCATCAGTAAACATTTGCAAAAAGCCCTTTCGCAGTTGGCTGCCCGCAAGCGCAAAGCAGCCCTCGCAGAAAAGACCAGCCGCCAGTCAGACGCAGCCAGCGCAACGTCCTCACCATAGCCCTAGCACACGCATCCCGTGACTTGTCCGAAGTAACGCTGGGGCGCAAAAACGAACCGGGAGACCACCCAAAAACTCCGAAAAGAAGCCTGACTGTAACTACGCGGCCGCTGTACGTATGTTCATGCCCCAAGTCGATAAATACTACGGGGTTGCTGATGCGACCTGACAAACTTACACCCTTGGCTACCCGACCTCACAGCACATGGCAATGTGCGCCCCAACCCGGGGCCGCTTCAAGACATTCTTTTCCCGATCTGGCAGAGGCGCCGGTGCTTGGCAGTGCAATGCTGAAACGCATTGACAACTCATGTAATTGCTACCCAGGATGATGGCCTCATGCCTTCCGGACGCGACAGCTTTTTTTGCAGTGCTGTGTGCTATTAGCTTGCTAATAGCTTACTAGTAGCTGCTAATAGCTTCTCGGATTTAGCTTCGTACAAATAGCTATTAGGCAGCTACAAGCAGTTATACTTTCCTCCAGGATTGTGCTGGGTTGTTATGCTGCTTTAACGCATGAAGCACGGCTCGAACTGTTAACAGGCGGAAGGTTGCTGCAATGCCGCGATAGCTGGTACTGGAATCGTCGGATATCGGCCAAGTTTTGGGTCATATCACAATAATCCGAAGATTTCAGCAATGTACAAGTCCACTGAGCACGGTCTGAGTGGCTTAATCATTTGCTCAACCTGAGCGGCAAAAATGCCGAGTCGAAGGTGGGAGAAAAGCATCAAAGCGTTCGGCCCCGCTTTGAGTCTGGCTGAATTGCTCGCGGGGTCCAGTCTACAGCTAGTAGCTGCGAACAGCAAGCTTTTAGCAAGCTATTGGCAAGCTATTGGCAAGCTATTAGAAAGCTATTAGCAAGCTATTAGCAAGCTATTAGCACGCTACTTGAAACGGGCGGGGGCAGTGTTTTGGCTTCCTGGGCCTGTTGTCTGTGGATTTTCGGACAAACCCAGGAAACCTGGCGAGGGCTTGAGTCGTAGGGAGCATTCAGCAAGGAGACGAGCTTTAGGGGAGCAATTTTCCAGAGATTTAGCAAAGGAACGAGTTCCAGGCTAGCCGGTCTCGTATGTTGTCGCAACTGGCATTTAGGCTGTAGGCAAGCAGAACGGGCCCAGTCATCAGCAACATGAAGGAGATAGGACCTGCAGCGACGCAAAAAGCCATGTTACATCTTTTTAGGATGGAAGTACAAAGTACACCTTTCCAAGAGCCCCCCCCCCTCGAGTGAGCCAAGGTCGGACGGCCTTGCGCTGGGTAACGAGGCGCTGAACGGGATCCTCATCTCGCTGTTGATGCGGCGCATCGACAGCATTGTGCCTCGGCGATTCGGTTGGTTCCTTTGGCAAAGGGATACATTGGGTGGCTTCTTGATGTATCCTTGCAGGAAGTGGAGGGTTGAGGGTTCCAGCCTGGGTTTATTTTTCCGTGTTTGGAGGAGTTCCTTTGTTTTTGTTTGAAGAAAACATATTGGAGGTCATATCTATGTTGGGGGATTGAAGAGACACGGGTTTGTCAGGTAGTGAGGAATTGGTCATTTATTCGTGGTCATCTCTGGGAGACTTGACCGACTGGCAGCCACACGGATAAGTGGTCAACATTGGCCACCTCAGCAAGAGCTGATGTGAGGCAACGACCCATGCAGGGGCGCCCAATTGTGACACTGGTTGTCAAAGTGTGGCCGAACTGATCGCTTCGCTTTTTCTTTGTTTGATGGGGAAGTGCATGCCTGTGCCAGCGTGGGGAGGGGACAGATTCGTACAAGCTTTCTTTGCATGATGCTCTGTTGCTCAAATTTTGGGTGTGTTGAACCGTGTGCTCTTGTTTTGACCTGTGGATATAATTCCTGATCTTCGAACATGTTGCTCTTTGAATTGAAGATGGGCACATCAGCAGATTCAAAATTTGTTCGGTCTTCCAAGCCCCTCGCGTTTTGCTGGGGGTGACCCGGGACACTTTCCTTCCCAACATAGAATCCATGGGCACGTCCGATAACACAGCATCCATTTTTCCGTTTCAGGGACCCCCAAGCCATGTACGGACCCGCAACCACTTGCCTGACTGAGGCGTCTTGCCTACGGCCTTCGGCTGTTTGTACATGTGAAAACTGCGGACTCTTCCATCGTGTTTTTGTTTTGTTTCAATTGCACAGACTTCTTTGGAGCCTCCTCCCTGTTTTGATTCAACACATGCTACCTCGGGGGTCAAAGACAAATCCAGCAGGGATCCATGATTTGGAGGTGCGGATGTCTGCCTTTTTGATTATTTTCCGGGATTTTGGTAGACTCCTTTCATTTCCGAGGTTAATTCTACCCACGGCCATGATTTGTAGAAAGCCCATGGATTGAATACTCTAGCAATGTAAAGCCCTTATAGTTTTTGGATCTCCCTTAATACTGCGTTTGGATACGTCCCAGTTCAGTTTCACTCTGCGGGCCTTTTGGTTTGGTGGGTTCCCCACTACAAATGGGCTTCCCACCTCCAAAAGGACAAAATCCAAAACGAGTCGATTCCCTTGTTTGCCGAGCTGCTCCTCTCCAAGGGCGGAAAGGTCAGCGGTTGCGCCTGGGACAATCAAAACGTGAATACCAAGCTTACAAGTGGTTGGTTCACCAGCTGGTGCAATTAATTCCCTGTGGGCAAGTAAAAGGGATGACCACCCAAAGCGTGAGCATTTTGCCATCACCGAGCTGTAAGGAGGCTATTTTGTCTTGTTCGGAAGCCACGGAACACGGAATCAAGCAGCCAACAAGAGGCCCCCCCTCATTGAAAAAGGCACCCATTCAACGGGCCCAAAGAGGTGAAGAACTACGCCTTCAGCGCCTCCATCTTCACCACTGCGGCGCTGAGCGCTGGGTTGCTGCAGCACTGGCCCGGGTGGCACTTCTACCTGGGCGCCAGTATTTCGGTGGCTTCGTTGCAATTGACCGGGTTTGTGGCAAAGGCAACAGTCTTTGGGCTTTGGATGGCTGAGGAAACCAACCTCCTGGAAGGGCCCTCCTTGGGTTTTCCTCAACTTAAAATTCATCCCCTCAACGTGAACCCCCCCCACTGCAAAGGATATGCTTGTTGGGTTCCATGTCAACGTGCGTCTCTCCCACGTTGCCATAAGTTTCTTTAAGAGGAAACTGGCCTCCACAATGGTAGCTGTCTCCTCCCAATCGTTAACGCTAAAGTTTTCACCTTCTGGACGTCCTTAAAGCACTGTTCGCACGGTTTTCTGAAGCATATTAAAGCTTGTATTTGGCACATCTAGCGCAGAGAAGGGTGCAGACTGAATCATGCTGGATGTGCATTGCAGGATGTAGCGGAGGTCCTGGTGACATGTTGCACCTTTTAAGGTGAAAACTAAAAAACGGGGTCACCGCTAGGTCAACCCTTCAGTCGAACCAATACCCAGGCAGTCTCCATGGCCCTGTATGCCAGAGCTGGCAGCGAGAGCAAGAAAGCAAATTAAAAAGGAATGCGCGGAGTGTCCGTTTGCACGGTGACTTGCTTACCTTGGTCTTTGCATTCTGCTACCATGGCGCAAAGTATTGGGAAGTAACACCCTTTTAGTTGGATGAATAGCGAGGTGTCCGTTGGCACTTAGACATTATAATTATGAATTCTTACTTTTGGGGGTCACTTGCTGCGACCCATGGGCCAAGATAATCATCTAACGTTGGAGACCTGGACTCAGTTTGAGCTGTGAGGAGATGGAGAGGCTATCAAACGGCTGGCGTATGCGTGTGCGGCGTGCCTCAAAAGCCTTTTGGGTGCTGTTTCAGGGGACGAGAAATCTGCGGTTCACTTTCCTCGGAAATGCCGTCAAAAGGAGCTCTCTCTGCAATTTCTAGACACCTAAGTATGTGGTTTTAACTGTAGGGATGCGTGACTTGTCAAAAACTTAAACACTTGGAGCCCTTCTTTGGTGTTGGTCGGTTCCTTTCTTCATTTGATCCCGGGAGCCAAGGAGGGTGCCCCACAGTTCCATGTTCTCGGCGAAAGCTGGGGATGTCGCTTTGACGTACGTTGCAGCAATATTCTTGCCACCCAAATAATTCTGAACATGGCAAAACAAGCTGCACCAAAAGATTGCTGGTTCACTCGTGGTCTCATCTGGAAGTCCTAAACCCCAACAGGGTCCCCGGTTTTGAGATATCTCCCAAGCGCCTTCTTGCCAGGATGGCGTGCAATACTCCTGGCGTGTGGAGGCGCGATTGGACCATGGACAGGTTTTGATCAGTGGCCCGCGTTTGGCCAAGTTTGGGTGGATTGGAGACTAGGGCCACCCCGCCAAATCCTCCACGTAAATTGTGGGTTTATGCGTCGGTTTCTCTTAGAAAGCTGAAAAGGAGGTTCCATTCCAATATGTGGAACACCCCACTAGCAAGGGGCTGTACTTCCTGGTTTGCTACCACTGAGAAAAATCGGCAAGACCATTGTTAACAACTGGGACTTTCCAGTTCGCATGTTGACATGTCCTGACATCAGTCCTTGACTGCCTGACGACTGTGCAGGGCCTTGCCAGGGGGCGGGGAGGGGGGGGGTTCAGCCCGGGCCGACTTGCATGGCACGTGGGTTGCGGCTCTGCGATGCAGCATTGTAGCACACGTGGCCACGGCTGGGAATCAGTTCTAGAGGAATAGCAGATGCCTTGGCCCAGAAGAAAACAGCATGAGCCCTGGAAGCATCCAGAGCACCGGCCTACCACAAGCCTAGCCTTTCGAAACTAAAGCACACCTTCCCTTTTTTAAAGGGCTCAGGAAATAGGAACCTGATGGCACCGGTAGCTGGCTTCAAATCTGGTCCTTAGCCAACGCAAGCTTCGAGCTTACGCCACTGGACTGGAAGAGACTCCAGGGTGATACTTTGGGCATTGCGGCATCCGCCATGGCGCGATCGATTGCGCGGGACAGCCGTCGCCTGCGCGCTGGCGTGCCCTGGGCTAGCTGGGCGCAGAGTAGTCATTGCACGGACCACGGTGCTGGGGGTGATGCTGTTGGGGTGCTGTTTCAGGTGCTGATCCAAGTGCGGGTGGTGGAGGTTGCTGTTGCAAGCTGATTTTTGAGTGTCTCCAGAAGGTACTGGTACAGGGGTGCAAGGTGCTGAGGCGGGGTGCTACTGGTACGTATTGCTGGGAGTGCTGGTGTGAGGTGCTGGTGCAAAATACTGTCACAGGATGCTGGCGCAGAGTGCGGGTGCAGGATGCTGGAGCAGGGTGCGGGTGCAGGGTGCTGGTGCCAGGTTCGAGTGCAAGGTGATTCCAGGTGCCATTCAAACGTCTGGTGTGGGGTTGATGCATGAATTGCAACAATTTTCAGGGATTCAACAGAAGTGCTTGATGGGACAATTTGCGGTTGCTGTGCTGGCAGTGCAAGCCGGCCACTGAACCCAGTGACGATTCCAACCTTGTGTCGGGGTTGATTTGTGAGATGTAACCAAATTAGAGAACTTTGATTAGGGTTGCCTCACAGCACGACACTTTAAGCACCAAGTGAACCCAGCATGTTTTGCTCTTGGCAGGACATGCTTAGTGCCGCTGGATACTGTGCCCAAGTGGGCTGCTCCCGAGTCAAACACGACCATAAGATGCAGAATGCACATAATGTACTTAGTATTTCGCCAGATTCTGCAAAACATGTATGCAGCTAGCAACCGAGCTGCAGAACATAGTTTCAGAAGTAAGGAACACGTCATTCTGACGAGCATTCCTGTTCATCACAGCCATACTAAGTCTATGATCATGGCCTCGAGAGTGCTGTGCCCGAACCGATGGGTGTTTGCTAGGCTGGTGAACCCTGGTTACCTTGAAGCTAGCACGGGAGTGTTTGTGTCAACACTAGGGATCCTTTCAGAAGATCGCTTTCTTTTGGTGACAACCATACCGCAGTGGTCGCTGAACAAAGTCTGCACCCTTTCAGTTGCACTCGGGAAGCATCGTTTCGCCGAAAGGTGCTACTGGCCGTGATGCTGGGCATTCTCTTGAAGGAACAGGGAAGCGTCCGGGACCAGCATCCATTTTGGCATCGATTGTAGGTGGTTCCACTGGTTTTAAGGGGGGTAGTGAGGCATAAATGGCTATGAATGTAATGGCAAGTGAGATTAATTCCCACATCATTTTACATTGTGAGGTTTGCTAAATATGGGCCAGAGTCTCAAATGACATTTGTAGTAGGGGGCATAAGCTGAGGTAGAAGCCACCAGGTCAAACAGCAACCTGGGAGAAACTTCCAGGAAGCAATGTCAGGCATCGTTTTTTGTTTTTGTTGTGGGGGCGGGATGCCTAAAGAAGCCTCCCATGCCAAAGCTAGTGACCTCCTTCCTTCTAGAGTCCATCATCCTGAACGTGGGCCCATGTCGGAGTGGTGCAAGTCAGGATCCAGAGCAAATGGACGTCTCACGCTGCGACAACAAGATGCAATCCCCGTTTTCGGCAAAGGCGGCCCAAGAGGCCACCAGGGTGCAAAAGAGCCCGTAATTTTGACCAGCTCTAATTGGGGCAGACTTACCTCCTGGCCATTCTCGTCTCCGTTCCAGCTTCGTGCCCCACGGCATGACCTATCAAATGAAGCTCGCTGCTGTCAATAGATCGTCCCTGGAATTCAGCATTCCTTGGCAGATCTCATTTAACACGCACTGCATCCGTACCAGAAACGCTTGAATCAGGGCTGAGCGCCCTCCTCTTATCTGAGCGCTCCATGTTTTTTTTAAGCGTATTTGTCGAATTGGTTGTTATCATGCTTTCCAGTTGTTCTTTTCTAGATCTGCTTCTTTAGTGCTTGGGCGTAGGACATGTTCCAATCTTCTGTTCTGTGCTCGGCGAGGATCTCTGGATCTGCTCCTTCGTGCTGCTGCCGCCGGCTCTGCGCGGCAGTGCCCGACCCCCAAGGTCCCGAGCCCCGGTGGGAGCGCACGCTTTTTGTCCACGTACACAGCCAAATGAGAAATGCGGCCGCAGATTGGTTGAACCAGCTGAGAACTGATATGAACTGCAACCACTGCTTAAACCAAGCCCGGATATGACACAAAGCCCCACGCCAGCCCAAGCCTTTGCAAACGCAACATGAAATCCAGGTCAAATGAAGCTTTTTTGCTCAGCCCAACATAGAGCACACGCCGGCTCCGACGGATCAGCGGAAAACTGGATGTTGCTACCCTGCTTTGGCCACTGCACCAGGCCCAGGAAGGGCCAATGGAAAGCAGCTGTACCTCCCCCTGTGTCACAATTGTAAGACCGCCTCGCGCAAACCAATAAATTTGCACAAGCTAGAGGGGAGCCAGTCACGGGGCATTTCCATTTCGCCCCATGAGGGACAGACACTGTTGTGAGCTGGGCGGCCCCCTTGAAAGCCAACACAAAGTGTCTTAGGGTCCCACAAGGGCTCTTTTTGTGCCAACACCCTACATAGGGAGAATGATTTTGCAAGGAGAAGAACAGGGCGTAACTTGCTGTTTGTTTTTCAAAACGAAGACACACACACACACACAGTGGATCAAGGGGTTTTCCACTAAACCCCCAAAAAGTTTAAACTTTTTGCAGGGGGGTCAACAGCAACCAAGCACACAGCCAGCCCGCACTGCAAACGAAAATGTTGATTGTTAATGGAGACAAGCCCGTCCTGATTGAGGATTTCCTCTCAGTTTTCAGATGCATCGAAGTCGTCCCTTCCCAGGGATGTGGCAGTGCACTTTGGGCCCAGCCCCAAGACGGTGGCGCAGGGGCAGGAGGAGCAGGGTCAGGAGAGGACGTGCATCACATGCGGACAGACTTGTTGCAACTTTCTGCTTGCTTTGTGATGGGACCCTTCCAAAGTGCAGTTGTCAGACATATGGCTTTTCGGAAAGCTTTTTGAGAACGCGCGAACTTCAACCACTTTGGCCCTCGGAGGCCTGGGAGCGATTGAAGAAATAGACTGCTAATTTAAATCGACACATCAGTTGAACCGCACCCTCCCCGAATCGAAAGGAAACAATGCCCTTCCTTGCTCAAGTCAAACACACACTTGCACAAACAAACAAACAAACAAACAAACAAACAAGCAAGCAAGCAAGCAAGCAAGCAAGCAAACAAACAAACAAGCAAGCAAGCAAGCAAGCAAACAAACCAACAAACAAACAACCGAAACAAACGAAGTGGGAGCATCTTCCATGTCACATGTGGAAGCAGCGGTCCCCCACCTCCAGCTTAGCTGGTTCGGCAGGAGGGGTGGGAGCTGGTGGTGTTGCTGTGCGCGCTGGGCATCATGATCAGCTACGCGGTGCCTCGGCCAGGCTTTTTGGTTTTCATCCATGAGCACAGTGTGCAGAGGAAGAGCGATTTGTTTAAGCTTGCTTGCTTGCTTGCTTGCTTGCTTCCTTCCTTGCTTGCTTGCTTGCTTGCTTGCTTCCTTCCTTGCTTGCTTGCTTGCTTGCTTGCTTGCTTCCTTCCTTGCTTGCTTGCTTGCTTGCTTGCTTGCTTGCTTGCTTGCTTGCTTGCTTGCTTGCTTGCCGGCTTGCTGGCTTGCTGGCTTGCTGGCTTGCTGGCTTGCTTGCTGGCTGGCTGGCTGGCTGGCTTGCTTGCTTGCTTGCTTGCTTGCTTCTTGTTTGTTTGTTTGTCTGTCTGTCTGTCTGTCTGTGTCTGTCTGTCTGTCTGTCTGTCTGTCTGTCTGTCTGTCTGTCTGTCTGTCTGTCTGTCTGTCTGTCTGTCTGTCTGTCTGTCTGTCTGTCTGTCTGTCTGTCTTTGTTTGTTTGTTTGTTTGTTTGTTTGTTTGTCTATTTATTTGTTTGGTTGCTTGGTCGCTTAGTTGCGTGTTTGGTGAGGTTTTAAGTTTTCGTGGCTTTGACTTTGCATTGTCTTGGATAGGAGCTGTGCGCCTTTGTTGGTTCGTATTTGGCCCAGAGTTTTGAATGAGATGCTTATTTACATCATTGCAAAGGACGCAAGCGGCAGAAGGAAGACAGAGAGTCACTTGCAAAGACCACAATAGGACGCCAAGGGATTGTTTCAGGCCCGTTGATGAAGGCTCCAAGTTTCCCTTCTTCAGCTCGCATGTCGTTTTGCCAGTTTCTGCAGCCGTAGTAGTGGTAGTGGTAGTGTTGCCAATAGCGGTAGTGGCAGTTTTAGTCGAAGTGGTAGTGGTAGCAATAGGATTGCTGAAGTAGTAGAAGAAACATTGGCAGCACCAGAAAATATTTTTCTTTTTGAGGACCGCTCGAACATCTCCATTGCCATCATAGGCATGGCCAAGGACTTCGAGTGGGACAAAGCGACCTGTTTTGGATTTCTCTTGGTCGGGTGGCAGTGTGTTCAGGGCGTGAGGGTGGTGCGTGGTTGTTCCGGGACCTGCGGCCAAGGGGACCGGCCAAGGCCGGCTGACCGCTGTTGGTGTTTTTGATTTTGTGGAATCTCTTGGGAGAACCATCGAGGTCAAGGGCGCTCGTTTAAGCACCTATGTGTGGCAGGCAGATGCGCGGCCAGCTGTGAAACTTTTTGGACCACCGAATTTGGGGGGCCTCCCAGTTCAGGATCCGCCGACCCTCCCACCCCTATCCGCAAGCATCGCTGGTGTGACCATCATCGACCCGTCACCATTAGCACGGGAGATTCACCTTATTGACTGACACAATGTTGGCTGCCAAAGTCACGGTGAAGCGCACAAGTGATGTTATGAAGGTTTAAAAGGTTTTGAACTCTCGGAACTTCAAGGCGTAGGTCTTGCAGGTATACATATATATATATATATACATATATATATATAACTAGGTGTGACTCTATCACTTCGCCACTTGCTGAGCAGAATCAGCAGCGTGGTTATTGCAATGCCTTAAGGCGTGATGGCTGTGCACCGGGCCATTTGTCATTTGTCTTTGTGGGCCATCCGTCCTTCAGACCCATCACGTTCATTCCAGCTTGCTTGGCCCCAAGACAAATTAATCCCGAGCTTATACACAGACAGTTGGCGCACAAATGACATGGGGACACCCCTTTGGACAGGCCAGCGCGCCAGGAAATGTGTGTGTGTGTGTGTTCATTCTTTTTTTTTTTAATGGGTCGGTCGTCCGAAGACATGTGGCGCTTGGTGTCAAGGACCGGCGTCATCTACCGGTGAGGGTGTACAACCAATGGCTCCAAATGGCTCCAAACTATATGACACACACACACGCAGATTAGATAGAACATCTGAAGGCCTGTACATATATGCTATCCCCCCCTAAACAAAAACCTAGGTTTCATCACTTTTCAAGTGGATTTGTGCCAGCAAGGGTTGCCACACAAGGTTCATTCTGGTCTTCAAATGGATTTGTGCCAGAGTGGATTGAAGAAGTGTCATTCTAGTTGATTGAACAGCCCCGGCTGAACAGAAGTGAAGACAGACAGTGCCCTGATAGATGACTTACAACATGGAGGCACCACAGGTCTTTGTTTTCTGCCATCTGGTTTCATCACTCTTCAAATGGATTTGTGCCAGAGTGGATTGAGGAAGTGTCATTTTAGTTGATTGAACAGATGAGGCTGAACAGAAGTGAAGACAGATAGATGACGAAGAGAGGAGGAATGAAGCGGTGATGAGTGACATGTCCTTTCACCCAACCACCATTCTATGCTGTAGGTGAAAGACCATGAGATCACAGTAAAGGAAAAGAGATGGCAAGAGATGAATGATGTTGAGATTTCTTTGTCACCATCTGGTCATTACATTTGGTGTGTCTCTAAGACTCATCAAAATGTAACCCAAATAATCTTAAGATGTCTTTATTAATAGCCGCTGTGTCTTTTCTATCTCTTGGACACAGCTATTTTCATGTTGTATTATTTCCCTTTCATTTGTATTCCTGAGATTCTGGAAGATACGAAAGGTAAAGAATAATAGAAAAGAAAGGGAGATGATGATGGATGACGAAGGAACAGGAAAGTGCGTGAGGAGACAGTGAGATGACACGGGAATGAAATGGTGGGTGAAAAGATGTCCACCATTCTAGTCCTTTCGGTAGTTCCTAGAGACACAAATGTAAAATATCAATGTATACAAATAACCTGATAAAGAGATATAAATTTAAAAATATGAAGATTAAATAGAAAAGCAGTTAATAATGAATAGATCTTAAGATGAGACGGTGAGGGATAAAGAAGTCCCATCATAAAACCATTCTATTTCTCTATCTCTTTCTCACATCACATCCCTTTCACCTCTGTATCTAGGATGTGATTAAGAGGTGAGAAAGGGAGAGACCAAATGATTTCCAAGATGAAGGAAGAGGAAATCATTATGGATGAAGAGGAGAGAAATATAAGATAGTAAAATATTTGTAAATGCTATTAATCTAGATAGAGATTTATTATTTGGCCCAAGCCTTCCTATTCCTCATCCAATTTCTAATGCTGGATGAGGTCATATCTCCCTTTATCACATGCCATTCCTTCCTTCTGTACCTCTCCCAACCATCTGGATCGGAGATGAAGGGAAAAGACAAGGAAGAGAAGCCAAATGATGCTGTTTCCTTTCTCCTCTCCAGCCTGTCAATCACCGGCCACACGAAGGAATGGGCCGGGTGAGTGGGTTTGTAGGTGACATCTCTTCATTTGTCACCTAATATTAGAATATTGGAATTTATAATAAAAATCCATTCTAATTCTCTTCATCAAGGATTTTACAGATAAATCCAAGATGAAGGTAAAGAGAAAGCAACTAAGAGACAGATGAATGGGATCTCTTTCACCCATTCATATCTTCTCTGTATTTTACTATCTGATATTTCTCTCCTCTTCATCCACAATGATTTCCAAGATGAAGGAAGAGGAAATCATTTGTGTGCCTTTTCAACAGACTCTTGTCTGCAGATGTACCTGATGCCCTTTTGTTTAGCAGATATGTTCATGTGGTGAACTCAGCACGCTGGGAAATTCTGCATAACATGTTGCAAAAACCTTGCAACAATGCACGTGTTTCCATGTATGCAGTGAGCACACAACTTCAAACACATGCATCTTAGCAGCACCAAGTGCATGTTTTGTAGACACTAGAGCAAAAACCCTGGACACATGATGATTTTCTATTTTGGTAGTAAAAGTGAACAAATACAAAGTAACAAACACCAAGCAAAGTGAAACAAGAAAACAGTAAACAAGTAAACAAATAAAATACCTGGACTCATGAAAAGTAAAAAAGTAACACAGCCAAAAGTAAAAAAACCAGACCAGGGCTTTTTACTTTGTTTTTTTTTTTTTTTTTTTACTTTTGGATGCTTTACCTTTTTTACTTTTCATGAGTCCATTTTTTTTTTACTTTTCATGGGTCCAGATACTTTACTTTTTTACTTGTTTACTGTTTTATTGTTTCACATTGCTTGGTTTCTGTTCCTTTGTATTTGTTCACTTCTACTACCAAAATAGAACAATCATCATTTGTCCAAGGTGTTTGCTCTAGTTTCTACAGAAACATGCATTTGGTGCAGGTAAAATGCATGTTTCTGGAGTTGTGTGCTCACTGCATACATGGAAACAACGTGCATGTTTGCAGGGTTTTGCAATTTGTTATGCAGAATTTACCAGTGTGCTGACCTCCCCCCCACAAACCTAGTTTTTTTTTTGGGGGGGGGGGTACCACATATATATATATATATATCCTTCTTTACCTTGCATCAAGCCAACTTAACAAGCGTGTACGGGTTCCAAGCGAATGGCGGTGTGCCCTCAGGAGGGTACACCTTATCTGCACCTTTCGTAGAACCGGAAATTCGCCAAGCTTCAGCACCAAAACCAAGGTTTCAGCTAATTCCCAGTATAATTTCCTGCTGGTTTCCCATACCCACTTCCCCTTGAAAGGATCTGGGGTTTAGAGCAAAGCCGAGGCCTTTGAGGGCACAGTGCTCTCCGCCTTCTTCGGAGGCGAGGGCATTGGACGTTTGAAGACAGGGTTTGCTTCTTTTGACCTGGTTGTTGGGCAAGCAAAGGAGGCTTTGCTTCTTGTTACCTGGCTTCTGTAAAACACGTGTCAGGCTTGTCTCGAAATAGAATGCAGCCCCCCAAAGTTTCGGTTTCCTTTGATTACCCCTTAAAACAACCCTAAAGCGGACACCCTCAAAAAACGGGAAAACACATCCCTCCACAAAGGAAATCAAGGCCCTGCTAAAAGTATAGAAGCCCGCATTTGGTTCTGGGCCGTTTTGTTGGGTTCTGAGGGACTGATTTGTCAACCAGAGCAAACTGAGTTCTTTGCGACAGCACATGTCCTTGAAAATAGAACAGAAACCCCAAATCTCCCCTGTGGTCCTCGCCGTACCCAGACGAATCTCATTTCAACATTGGACGGAATCCCCTGAAGAGGAGAATGGATGTGTGGTCGGAATCAAGGGTAAACCACTATTTTTTTGGGGCCGTTTTGACACATACGCGCCGCAGCTCCGCTTAGGTTTGACATGGACGGCTTCAGTCATATGGAATTCCAGTCTCACTGGCAGTCAAAGCACGGCCCTTTTCCAGGAGCCAAGAGGCTCCAATGTTGGCAGGCCCCTTTTGCCTCACCCTGTGTCGACCTTGGAGGCCCGAACGACTGACTTCTGGGCAGGGAAGGGTCCAACCCGTCAAGGCAAGAAGTGGTGGACAAGTTTCCGTTCCCAGCGGCAGTCTACCTTGAGGGCAACCCCTAGTTTCAAGCATTGGAAGTCAAGCAACCTATCAGAGGATCCCCGCGCTGGGAGCTTCGGCAGGCTATGCAGCCACCCAGCTGCTGGGCGGTCAGCTTGCGGATGCCCTGGGCGCTAAGGGGGTTCTGGCAGCAGGATGGGGTCTGGGAAGTGGTGTGGCAACGTTATCGCAACGTTTTGGTCGTTAACGGCCCTTCAGGGTCACTGGTGACCAGAAACAGGTTGCTATGCCCTTCCTATGGCTCTGAATCCGGACGACTTGGGAACAAACACACAAAGCCCTGCGCCGGCAGCAGAGCTCTTGCGGATCGTGCAGTGGGATACGCAAGCCACTTCGCGATGAACAGCTTGCGTACTGTAGATTGTTCCCAGAACCATGCCACATGTTGGTTTCTGCAAACCTCCACCTTTGTTGCTTTCGCACGCGTGCCAGTAAAGCTTTTCTTACCCACCTTAGTCCCAGCTCAACTCGTTTTGGATTTGCTTCAATATGTTCCCGTGCAGAAGTCAGCAATGAGTCCAAACCCTCCCAGCTTGAAAGATACCACTTCTGTTGTTGTTGTAAGGGAGAGAGCCCCAGCAGCAACTCGCTCGAACGCAGAGTTAGCTGTCCTTGGATATTCATGGGTTTGTTGGCCACTCTCACGATCTGCCCTGGTCGTAGCCCACCTTTCGTCATGGAAACGGAGCCAAATCTCCTGACAGTGATCTCTCAACAGGGCAAATGAACAAATAAACATCGCAATGAGCATATTTTGTTCCTTGCTTTTGGGCTTTGGCTAGTTGAGGTTCATTCCACCATACTCCAACTGAAATAAAGCAGCCGAGTTGCTAAAGCGTCCACTCAGGGCCCTTTTCAACGTAACTGCTTCATAGAGCACCAGCTCTTTGACCCTTGTCTGGCGAACATACAGGGAAGGCCTAAAGAAGCTGCTTCACCAACAGAGAGGTCCCTTTCGTTTTGGGCCAAAACGGAGATTATCAACATCCGTTCTCCTTTGTCATGTGGCCAAAGGGTTGTGTCCAGTTTGCAGAAACAGGGTGTGAACTAGGGTAACCCAGGCTTTAAGATGCCTGGAAAAATTGACAAATCACTCATCTCCTGGTGATTTTCCTTTTGAGACAATTTATAGTATGTTTGGAGCTGTGTCAGCAGAAATCGGTTTCGGCCTTCATTTTGAGTGTCAAAAAGAAGCCAAAAGGACGGCAACAAGCCGTTTTGGGTATGAAATCTAATTGGTAACTCCCTCAAAGCTGCTCGATGGACATGACATACATGCCCATACAGTCCACCAAGCGTCCCCAAATGATAATCACATGATCCATGCACCGAGTGGTTACCAAGCGTTTTTCATGAGATTGATTTGGGGAGGCCTTTCAGGGCGTTGCCCAGCTTTGCATTGCACACACGGGAACCCTTTCTTCCCGCCCTACACCTTGTTCATTGACTCTCTACCTCTTGGTTTTGTCCCCAAAAAAGAGCTTGGGTAGAACAGAAGGGAGAAAACCTTCAATCGACAGCGGCAAGCGGAACACGGAACGCGGAACGCGGAACGCGGAACGCGGAACGCGGAACGCGGAACGCGGAACGCGGAACGCGGAGCTGGGCTACGACTGCTCGTCATCCGCCTCGACGCCTCGACACGACGCCTCGACGCTTTTTGACGCTTCGACTCGAGGGCTGGCGGTGTGGTCCTTGGCCACCGCCGCCACGCCCTGGGCCGCCGCCCTGGGCGCCACGCCGCTGCTGGCGGTGCGCCTGGCGCTGGGTCTCGGGGAAGGCCGGGAGGTGTGAGGGGAGGGATGGTGGGCTTATGGGGGCTCAAAAATAATATATGTATATATAGAGTATATATATATATAGAATATATATATATATATATATATATTTATTTATACACGTACATGGCCCGAACACGCTTTGCGACTTGGACGCCAAAATGTCTCAAGGATTGGGGGGATTTCCAGTAGGGCCAAATGGGGATATGGAAATTACAGAAGGAATGGTTTCCCTTGAACATTACCCCAAAAGGGGGTAGTTCCACGTGTGTTTCTGTTGACATGTTTGGCTTCTTTTCTCTTTTTGAAAGGCGGGGAGGGTTATGCAGGGGCCCTTACACGTCCCGTTCTGGATGATTTAAAAATCGCCTTTGCTTGCCATTTCATAATGAGCTTCCTTCTGATAGGGATGTTTCCAGGTGTCCAAATCAAAGTCCAAAATCTGGGCCCTACTTGCAAACATGGCAATCAACGCATTCATTGTTTACCTGCTTGCTGTCCTCTCTCGCTTCCTCGCCCACTTGCCCTTAGTTGGAAACTCTTAAACAGATTGAGGCGGCATGGAGGCGGCAGTTTTACATTTTCTACGAGTGCTTGCTTCTGGTGCGATGCAACCAACCACCTGACTGGGACCATCCCTGGAGAGGCCAAGCTGGTGTCCTGAAAGGTAGACCCCCAACCGAGGGTTACTACAACAATCTATGTGGTTGAGGCGAGGCTGGTAACCAACCTACAGTGGGTTCATGCAACCATTGCAAGTGCACCAACCACATCGAACCCCAAAATCCTGGAAAAGATGCGAGGACCCGCGGGTGAATCTCAAAGAGCAGGAACTAGGTGTTCAACGGACCATCGGAGACGGGAAAATTGGGTGGTCCCCCGAAAACTTGCTTCGAAAGTTGGGGCCAGAAGCGAGCCCCGTGTTTGGGCGTTCATCCTACTCGGTACGTAGTTTGTACCAATAGTTATAGAGCAACTTTTTTTTGCTGTACTAGCAACCATGGTTCTAGCCTACTTAGTTTGAGCATCATATTCCTAAGCTTGCAACCCCATGACTATCGGCGACGAGCGACACTGATGGCAGGGGTCGCGTTCCCGGCAGTTCACAGCGCCATCGCGCGCCTGGTGCCGCGGAGCCAGCGCTTCGGTGCGGGGTGGGCCTGTGGCCTGGGCAAAAGTCGAATGAGATGCTCGAGGACACCTTAGAGCATGTGTCGGGAGAAACAGCGGGCTTCAGCTCAAGATCTGGAAGCCTTTGGGAGGACACCTCCATTGCTTTAAAAGGAGCACTTAAGAAAGAAGGTGCCACTCCTAGAGACCTCTATTCAGCTGCCCCACGAAATTGTCCTGGAAAACAGTGACAATAACTTTTGGGTTGGAAGGCCATTCTGGCGGTGCTTCCTTGTCGGTGGTCAAGGGGACAACCTGAGGTTTGCGCTGGTGCAGTCAGATGAATTTGCAAGTGGAGCGCTGTATTTACCATGCTCATGCTGGTGGGTTGCAGCTGACTGCACAAAGGTGAAGTTTCCTTAGTTTCCATGAGGTTTTGGACCACCCAGCCCCACCAGTGGTTCGTTTCCTTTCCGCATTCTCCCTTAGGCCTCCAAAAAGCGGATGGGTTTCCCGCCCGAGGCAATCCTCCGCGGTGGCGCTGGTCACAGCCGCCTCCTACGCGGGCGCTGGGCCACTGGAACCAAAACGGCACGATGTCACGATGAGAGCACCTTTTTCGGGCTCCGCACTTTTCGGGAGTTCTGCTAGGTCCGAAGCCTGACTACCGAGATTGGCGAGCTGGGGGTCTCAACCAGAAGTAGCCTTTTGGCGCTGCCCTTTTGTTTCGGTTCCCCCCTTTTGGCCAACACGCACCTCACAGCTTTAGATGGATTTATTATTATCGGTCATCCAGGTTGCTGCCTGGACCCTCGAACATGCTTCAACGTGTGTTCTTGACCTTCACCAAACATGTCTTCGGCGTGTGGTACCCTCGCCATGTCAGTCATAGTTTCGAGCGGGTTCCTCAAGGCTGGGGCCCTGCGACCCTACTGTGTGTCAATGTGCAATGCTTGGGCATGGGGGCATGTTTGAATGCAATCCTAGTGTTTCAAGGCATAGATGACACCCACACATGGTTGACTGCTTTTAATTGGTGAAATTGAAACGCTATCCAACCAGGACACCCAGTTCTCAGAGGCCTCGCAGCATTGTCATGTGATGGTCTTGGCCAGGGATGAACATTCACCTCAAAGCCTGTTGTAGATCTCTCTTTAAGGTTTCATGTGTGCTTTATCCCATGGTTGCGGGGCTTTGCAAACTACCCTCCTTCCAAGAAACATGGTTTCCTGCACCCGAGCCTCTGATGGAAGAGGACATTCCTTTTTGGAAGGATGATTCTCGTGCACCGCCTGCATGTTCATCCTATTTGGAAGATGAATTGTAACCACGGTAAAAAAATCAGCCTACCCTCGTTGTCGCACTTGTAGCTGGTTGTAACTTACTTACCTGACGTACTTTGAACATCCCAGAAGACGTGTTTGCTTCTTGGGATCTGAGGCTTGCTTTCCTGCTTGTGCCCGGCATCATCGAGCAGTACGGCTGGCAGGCGTGGCTCTGGTGTCAAGCCCCGGTCATTGAACTGGTCGCCTTTTTTTAAAGGATGCAGCATTCTCATAGGGCGGAGAGAGGGCAAAAGGCTGGAGCCAAGAAGGACAACTGGGAAGGTGGCAAGCACTCCACCAATCATTCACTACAAGGATCAATTTATGTTTCGCTTGGAGTCATTCCCTCACCCCGAGCTGAGAACAAGCAAGTTTTGCGACCCTAGATGTCCTTTAGCTAACCTTTGGTTGAACGTAGATGGCACATTTTTAGTTTGGGTCTTACTCATTTGTAAGCGCTGGTTCTTTTTGCAGGAAAACCAAAAGGCGGCTGTTTAAGCGCCGGTCGTTTGAACTATGGTTCAAACAATGGCGAGCCCAACTGTGACATTCCCCAATCCCTGAATCTCACAGGATCCCATCCCTCCTGTCACTCGCTCTTCCACTCTTCCCCTTTCACTTGAGTTGAGAGGTTGTTCAACCAAGTGCTGACCCCGTGGTGTAAACGCTTTGAGCACGGGTTGCTTGGCCAACCCGGCAGGTCTCCTTCCTCGGCTTCGGCGGCCTGGCGCTGCTCTGGCTGCCGCCGTGGCTGGCCACGGACTTCGGCGCCAGGCCGGAAGTCGGCGTGCCCAACTGGGTGATCAACCCCCACAACTAAACCAACCAGTTTTGGGCACACGAAGCTTGCGGCAAAAGCAAAGCTGGCACGCGGACTTTGAGCTGAAGGCAGAGTTTTGCCCCATCAGGGATTTTCTCCAAACTTGTAATGAATTCCAGGCGAGATGTCCTTCCCTTGGCATGTTGCATTTGCCTTCATTGGCGGGAAGACTTTGGGCCTAAGAGATGCAGAAAAGAACGGGACGATTCTCGTCCCCACATGAGCCAACACTAACTGCCTGGCAAATTGGGCAGACTCCTTTGATGTCGGGTTTTGACGGAGACTCAACATAATCAAGTTGGAGGTCTTTCCGGTTGGATACGCAGAGCTGCCTTCTAGCATGCCAATGGCCTTCAATTTTCCATTTTTGAAGGTTGGCGCTTCAAGAATATCGTCTACGTGACAGAGGCATGTTGCTTTCCCCTCAGGAAAGTCTTCCCTTGTGGGCACAGGCAGAGGAATCCATGATGACTCAAGGGAATTCCCTCCCACATGCAAGCACCGCCAAAACTCAGGAAATCTATCCCGGACCTACCGCACCAAAGCATTTGTGGATGAATGTATCTGTTGCAATTGCCTTGTCGGCCGGAGGAGATGATCATGCCCAAGTGGTGGATATGCTCCAGAAACAACAGCATAAAGGCGGTTTTATACAAGTAGAACGCAGGAAGCTGGAAAAGTAAGAACAACCCAAAACAGAGAAGCCACGTGTGCTGAGACTGTTTCTGTTTGGGTTTAGGAGACTAACGCGCTGTGGCAGGGCCACTCATTCGCAGTTGTTGTTGGTGTTGTTGTTGTTGTTGTTGTTGTTGTTGTTGTTGTTGTTGTTGTTGTTGTTGTTGTTGTTGTTGTTGTTGTTGTTGTTGTTGTTGTTGTTGTTGTTGTTGTTGTTGTTGTTGTTGTTGTTGTTGTTGTTGTTGTTGTTGTTGTTGTTGTTGTTGTTGTTGTTGTTGTTGTTGTTGTTGTTGTTGTTGTTGTTGTTGTTGTTGTTGTTGTTGTTGTTGTTGTTGTTGTTGTTGTTGTTGTTGTTGTTGTTGTTGTTGTTGTTGTTGTTGTTGTTGTTGTTGTTGTTGTTGTTGTTGTTGTTGTTGTTGTTGTTGTTGTTGTTGTTGTTGTTGTTGTTGTTGTTGTTGTTGTTGTTGTTGTTGTTGTTGTTGTTGTTGTTGTTGTTGTTGTTGTTGTTGTTGTTGTTGTTGTTGTTGTTGTTGTTGTTGTTGTTGTTCTGGCGGTGGTGGTGGTCGCGGTCGTGGTCGTGGTCGTGGTCGTGGTCGTTGTTGTGGTCGTGGTTGTCGTCCGTGGTGGTGGTGGCGGCATGTTTGCTGCCTGCTTTGGGTGCTGCCGTCGTCACTGCTACAACTATTATCATCATTGTATTCGAGACCGGTTTTGTCATGGTAGCTGTTATTTGTTGGTATGGTTGTCGCTTTTTGTTTGGTTCGCAATCGTTCTCGTTGTTTGGATCTTCAAGGTCCTTTGTAGTCTCACTGCTTGATTACACACATGTATTTCCTGGCTCATCCGCGTGGACGCTCCTTTTTTCCTTGCTTTGCTTGCAGGAGCAGGCTTTGGCTTGAATGCTTTTTGTTAGACATGTTGGCTAGCCGGAAGTTGGCGCTCCGGTGCTTGCTTGAGGGCCATCCAGCGCAGGTCAAGCTCCTTGGACCTCTCTGTGGAAAACTTGCAGACGAGCTTCAGTGCTACCGTCAAGGACCAGGGTGATCATTCTCAGATTCTCATCGGGCGCAGTAGGTTTGTGAACTTCATGAGGTTTGAGCTCACCGAGCACCAATGAAGAGAGGGCTTACGCATGGGTAGCTATTGTTGGACGGGCTGCTCCTGATCCGACGCACTTCAACAGTACAAGTGGAGAACAAAGTTTGGCAAGGAGAAGGAGGCCTGACTTTGCATCATCATTAAGCCGTTTGGCAACCGGAGTTGACGTTAATTCGCCTGTTTGACAGGTTTTGGGTCATGCTCCGTGGAGACTTTGACTTGGCCCTTCAGCGTGCTGCGACCACATGGCTTCGCGCACTTACAGCACTTGATGTTACAAGTTTCAACCCACAAGGCATCAACACATTGCTAGCAGATTCCGTGAGATGAAGCCAATTTTGGTCACATGGGCTCGTCTGAAATTGGGGCACCTCACAGATGTTAGGTGGGCTAATGGTTTCCTTTCAATTTTGACCCAGGACTAATAAGCCCCTGGTTTTGGGATGTCCCACGTTTGTACGAACCCCCCTTATCAATCCTCTGGGTTTGACAATCCAGGGTGTAACATCAATCCCCTCTTCAAAAAGGGATTGCTGGTTTGGGTGGGTCCTTTTTTGAGGGTACCTTTTTTGTGGAACACCAATAGGACATTTTCATTTCGTGGGTCTCCTCGGGCCAGGAGCTGCTGCCGTTGGTGACGACGAGGGAGGTGCTGGCGATTTGTGTGGCACAGCAGCTGGGAAGACATGTTTAGTCGGGGAACAACCCAGCTGGTACCTCACTTGAAAGGCTCTTAAGGGGCTTCTTGGAGGGGGGGGGGGGGCTCTTGGAGTACCGGAACTTCTTGGAGGGGGTTCTTGGACCCTTCGCGTGGAGGGAGTCTCCAATATCTCTCAGAAATGCGGATTCATAGAAACGAACACAGGAAGTTGTACGGGAACTGAGCCGAATAGCCTGGTTTGTCAGATTGATGGGTGGAGGGCTTTGGCCTTTTTGGTTCGCTTACAAGCTCTGCTGTGGCAGTGCCTGGGGCCTTCTTCATTCCACTCTCTATTTCTTCTCTTGCCCTCCTTGTGCTCCTTGGCCCTCGCTCCCCCCTTTACTTCTTGGATTTCCTTGGGCAGCAAAGTGGCTCCCCTCACGTGAATTCATTGCCAGCTTGGGTGACTGTAAAGTCTGGCCCGTCTTGTAGGTTGGCAGAAACCAGCTGCCAGTCCCACAAAAGGTTTCAGTGCTCTCGGCGATTTAGTCCCAACCCCATCAAGTTGAAGGAGATCCACTTCACCAAAACAGGCAATCCACCCAAAAAGGGCAACCCAACCAAACCATGGGAAATCCAAGATCAAGCGAAACGGCGAGCTAAAGCTGAAGGTACACCAATGGCTTCGGGCTCTACGGTCTGCTCAGCTGGTTGCCCACCTTCTTCTCGGAGCAGTACGGCAGCTCTCTGTCCGACTTGCTGCCCGACCAAATTACGCGCTTGCCAAACAAATGCGCATTGCATGGAACAAAGGGGCGTCCGGGTCCCCAAAGGTGATCAGTTGGGTGGTAGATAGGGAGATACTTGGAGATTCGTTAAAACAACTGCAGGTAGAAACCAAAGATGTGGAATGTCCCACAACAATTGGCACACAGACACACAGCTTGGACAGAACGGGCCCTGGAGCAAGTTGCCACAAACTAGTTTTCCCTTGGCGTATGAATGGGCTCTAGAAACTGAGGACACTTTTGGCTTCGTGTTGTCCGCTTCTTTGAGCGCTGAGGCCATTCCTCACGACCGTGCCATACTTGCTGCAGGCGCGTGGGCGATGGGCATGGCGTGGAGATTGGAGGGACTGGAGGCCAGGCTTGGCATGTAGATATTTGGGCCTTTCCACACCCCCACAAGGACCTTGCACGAGGTCCCTGGTGTCAAAAGGGCCTTTTCCCAGGTTCGATATGGTGGCAGTAGCTCAACTGGAACCCACACAGCGAGGGATGACAGCAGGAATTGAAATTGGCTGAGATGCTTCTTTGCGCGGTGCTGCCCGAGGTAGTTCTGCAATGACATGAAGACTGAGTGGCATGGAAAAACATGGTTGCCATGCCTTCAGGATTGTTGTGCTTCCTGGATGCCAGTTTGTCACAAATCTCGGGGGAGGGTTGGGCAGTGCCGTGAGACTTGCAGGGGTAGAGTCTCTCACTTCAGTTCTTGCATGTTGCACAGAAAGAACGCACAGAAAAATGCACGACCGCAAGAAGTAAGAAGAACAGCATGAAGACAGGGCTTGTCAGGTTTGTGCTCGACGCAGAAGGAGGCTTTCTAAATTGCGCCTGATTTTGACAGTCTTTTGTAAACCACCAAGAACAGGTATCCTCAATTTGCCATACCCAAGTTTCAATCAACCAACGGCTTTGACCGTTGGCACCCCCGAAGGTTTTTTCAGACCAGCGAAGGTTAAAGAGTTCAAAGGACCAACTGCTTTGCACATTGCCAGGCCCCGACGACTTGAATACGTTCATCCGCAGGCAATCAGCTTTAGCTACAAAGCAGCGGGCTTTCTGGGCCCCACACACCTCAGCCCAGAAGGAACGGAACTCCAAAAGAAAGCCATTGCCAACGGGATGCTGACTGGCCCATGAGTCTTGATTTCCTCGAAAGGAACCACACAAAGGTTGTTCCTAAGCTCTGCATCATTCGGGTTTTTTGAGCACTCCCGAAAGCTCATTGGGAGGGCCTCCTTCAGGCGATCTCCATCCGCCCCTTTTCCTGCTTCCCAGGCAGTCTGAACGACCCACATTGTGTTTCGAAAGGAGGCGCCTTGTTTTGCCGCCCAAATTCCCTTATCCCATAACGAAATACACATTTGAAGACATGTAACAAAGACAACTGGCTCCCAACCCGGGCGATTCCCCATCCTGGGCCTTGCCAGGCCGGCGTGGGGCTGGCCGTGGGCGGCTACGCGGACCGGCAGCTGGCCGCCGGAGCGCCTGTGGGTCAACTGCGGAAGACCCTGCAAGCGGCCCCTGGGATCCTTCGGGATGGGGCGGGGTTGGATGTGGGGGGGGAAGTTGGGAGGTTGGGAGTTTTGGAGTTTTGGAGTTTGGGGAGCGCAAGCATGGTGTCCTGCTTTGGGTGTCTTTGATTGAACATAGATGAATCCCTCGGAGTCAGTTTGGTCTTGGTCGGTTATGCCATGTTAGTTGTGTTTCTGGAATTTGGCGAAACGTTTCATAGTCCTTGCCTCTTATTCAGGCAAGACGTATTCCTTCATACGTCTGGCCTCAGTTTTTCCCCACATCTTTGTGTGGGGTTCTTACTTTTTCCGCTCGTCGTCCGCGCGCCGCGTCTCCTTCTCCTTCTCCCGCTCGTCTCCGTCTCACTCACTCACTCACTCACTCACTCACTCACTCACTCTCACTCACTCACTTACACTCACTCAACTCACACTCACTCACTCACACTCACTCACTCACACTCAGTCACTCACACTCACTCACACTCACTCACACTCACTCACTCACTCACTCACACTCAGTCACACTCACTCACTCACTCACTTCACTCACTCACTCACTCTCACACTCACTCTCATTCACTCACTCACTCACTCACTCGCTCACTCACTCACTCACACTCGCTGACTCACGGCAGCTGTCTAGAGGGACAGGATGTTGTCGCGCGCGCGGCGGGGGGTGTGCGAAATCGTGGCAGGCGCAGCACTTTGGCGATGCCGTTGCGAAATCGTGGCAGGCGCAGCACTTTGGCGATGCCGTTGCCGAAGTCGTGGCAGGCGCAGCATTCTGTGCATCTGGGTGTGTGTTTGTGTGGCAGGGGTCGCATTCGGCAGCTGTCTAGAGGGACAGGATGTTGTCGCGCGCGCGGCGGGGGGTGTGCGAAATCGTGGCAGGCGCAGCACTTTGGCGATGCCGTTGCGAAATCGTGGCAGGCGCAGCACTTTGGCGATGCCGTTGCCGAAGTCGTGGCAGGCGCAGCATTCTGTGCATCTGGGTGTGTGTTTGTGTGGCAGGGGTCGCATCGCATTCGGCAGCTGTCTAGAGGGACAGGATGTTGTCGCGCGCGCGGCGGGGGGTGTGCGAAATCGTGGCAGGCGCAGCACTTTGGCGATGCCGTTGCGAAATCGTGGCAGGCGCAGCACTTTGGCGATGCCGTTGCCGAAGTCGTGGCAGGCGCAGCATTCTGTGCATCTGGGTGTGTGTTTGTGTGGCAGGGGTCGCATTCGGCAGCTGTCTAGAGGGACAGGATGTTGTCGCGCGCGCGGCGGGGGGTGTGCGAAATCGTGGCAGGCGCAGCACTTTGGCGATGCCGTTGCGAAATCGTGGCAGGCGCAGCACTTTGGCGATGCCGTTGCCGAAGTCGTGGCAGGCGCAGCATTCTGTGCATCTGGGTGTGTGTTTGTGTGGCAGGGGTCGCATTCGGCAGCTGTCTAGAGGGACAGGATGTTGTCGCGCGCGCGGCGGGGGGTGTGCGAAATCGTGGCAGGCGCAGCACTTTGGCGATGCCGTTGCGAAATCGTGGCAGGCGCAGCACTTTGGCGATGCCGTTGCCGAAGTCGTGGCAGGCGCAGCATTCTGTGCATCTGGGTGTGTGTTTGTGTGGCAGGGGTCGCATTCGGCAGCTGTCTAGAGGGACAGGATGTTGTCGCGCGCGCGGCGGGGGGCGTGCGAAATCGTGGCAGGCGCAGCACTTTGGCGATGCCGTTGCGAAATCGTGGCAGGCGCAGCACTTTGGCGATGCCGTTGCCGAAGTCGTGGCAGGCGCAGCATTCTGTGCATCTGGGTGTGTGTTTGTGTGGCAGGGGTCGCATTCGGCAGCTGTCTAGAGGGACAGGATGTTGTCGCGCGCGCGGCGGGGGGTGTGCGAAATCGTGGCAGGCGCAGCACTTTGGCGATGCCGTTGCGAAATCGTGGCAGGCGCAGCACTTTGGCGATGCCGTTGCCGAAGTCGTGGCAGGCGCAGCATTCTGTGCATCTGGGTGTGTGTTTGTGTGGCAGGGGTCGCATTCGGCAGCTGTCTAGAGGGACAGGATGTTGTCGCGCGCGCGGCGGGGGGTGTGCGAAATCGTGGCAGGCGCAGCACTTTGGCGATGCCGTTGCGAAATCGTGGCAGGCGCAGCACTTTGGCGATGCCGTTGCCGAAGTCGTGGCAGGCGCAGCATTCTGTGCATCTGGGTGTGTGTTTGTGTGGCAGGGGTCGCATTCGGCAGCTGTCTAGAGGGACAGGATGTTGTCGCGCGCGCGGCGGGGGGTGTGCGAAATCGTGGCAGGCGCAGCACTTTGGCGATGCCGTTGCGAAATCGTGGCAGGCGCAGCACTTTGGCGATGCCGTTGCCGAAGTCGTGGCAGGCGCTGCATTCTGTGCATCTGGGTGCTCTGTAATCGCATCCATACAAGGGGCGCACGGTACATGTGTGTGGACATTTGAACTCACATCCTTGGGAAAAACATAGCATGTGGGGTTATCCGGTCCTTTAATTGTGAAATGTAAGTATTGGTAGCAATGTGACTGCTGGTGAAATGCAATCGAAACTCTTTGTTTATTATTGCGTTGGTGAGATGTAGCCTTTTTGGAGCCCCCATCTCTTTCTAGAAAGAAACGATGGTGGAGCTTTTTTAATGTACGACAGGAGAACCATAACAGAGCAGCTCCATTTTAGTCCCAAACATGATTCCCGAACTGGTTGCTTCCCCAGCCAGGTCCCGTTCGGTTTCCGAAGTTCGGTTTCGCTCTGCCCAGGTGGGGATGTTGGTGCCCGCGGTGGCGCTGCTGGTGGCCGCCTCACCGGTCGCGGCCAACTCCGCGACGGTGGGGGGGCTGCTGGTGGATGTGGGCCTCGCCGCCAACGCGCTCACTCTGGGCGCGGCTCCTCGATGGCCGAAGAAGGAATGCAGAAGGGGCAAGGGGCAAGGGGCAGAAATTTGAGTAATCCGTAGTTGGCTTTGCGTGTGTTTGTCTGTCTGCGCGTGCTAGTGAGCGAGTTAGTCCATTCGTTGGTAGGATAGTCTGTCTGTCTTGCTTGCTTGTTTGCTTGCTTGCTTGCTGAATGGCTTGCTTGGCTGGCTTGGTTGCTGTCTGGCAGCCTGCTGGCTGCCTTGTTTGCGTGGAACAGGTTTCCTGTCATCTTTTGTTGCCAAATGACAAGGTCAGCGTGAACCACCTGGACGTGGCGCCACGGCACGCGGGCGCGATCTTCGGCCTGGGCAATACCTTCGCGACGCTGGCGGGATTGGTGTCCACGCCGCTGACAGGTGCGGACAGTTGCCAAAGCCTGCTTGTTTTTTCTGCGCAGTTTTCGTCTAGCCAGCTCAGCTTATCCATGATGAAGACTTTCTGTTGGGATTTCTTCATGTCCAGTTGGTGAACTGCAAATTGTACAGATTATTTGATTTGAAATGACTTGAATCGTGCCAGTCACTTTTGAGAGAAGATTGTGCTTTGATCAGTCGGGCCGTCGTGATACCGGTATCTTGGCTGGATGTCAAGTCATAGAGCTTGCGCGTTTTAGGCTGCTTCATATCCTTGGCATGCTGTAGGCACACCTGCAAGACATGGCAGGCCGTAAATGTGTTTGGCTGGTCCTAGGGCGAAACATTCCGAGGGCACTTCGAAAATGTGAGGGGCACGCTGCGCCTTTGCGGCCTCTCTTGCCGTGGCCGCAATTTCCCAAACTCGCGAGTGGGGCCACGCTTGCTTTGCCTGGCCTGAGTTCTGGGTTGGTCTTCAATCTGGCCCGCAGACCCTTTTAGATTGGGTTTGGTGTTTCAAAGGTGCAGCTAACGGTAGCTCAAAGGGGGCTGGGTTTCAGTCAGTTTTGCTTATCCAGCTGTCAGGAGCCATTCTGGACAAAACCGGCTCTTGGGAACTGGTCTTTGCCGTAATCACGCTCCACTACGCTGCTTTGGTGAATAACAGACAGCGCGAGTCGGAAGTAACCACCCAGCAAGCTCTACGGGTTCATTTATTGGAGCCTTATTGCCACTCTCCAATCTTACAGCAATTGTTGCCACATGGAAGCAAGGTAGTATGGGCTTCCAAAGCTGTGATGGATTGCGAGCTGTTACCAGCAGATGAAGTCTAAGTGATCGCCACGCCTTTATCTACGTCCCAACGCCAATGTGCTGGCATTGTGCTCTGCCAAATTGAGTTTGTTTTGTCCGGCATGTCAACCCTCCGATACTGCATGAATGGGCTTCTTTTTTTGGGCCTTTCAAGTCCTACTCGAGAAAACGGCAGGGTTCTGCACCGACGGTTCTCCAACCAAACGTAGACTTTTTCTGACTTGCATACTGAGGGTACAGTTACACGTCGAAACAGCAGCTGGCACAGTGTGTCACAGGCGCGAGTTACCGTACGCGGCGCACAGTGTGAAAGCGGAAAGCGGCCGGCTCTGACAGTCTGAGGTTGTTGGGGCACTGGTCTTCGCCCTCCTTTCGGGCGAAAAACCCTTGAAAGAGGATGGATGATTGGGCTCCAGTTCGGACGTGAGAACTGTGTACGCTTGCAGGGTCTCAATGTGACATACACACATGCATACATAAGGGTGGTCAAAGATGGATACCCTTCTTGGCACCCTGTTGACATCAAGCCCCCGCCTTAAAGGAGGTCTCTCCTTTTTTGAAAGGGACCTTCACCAAAGCCGCCATGTTCAAAATTGCAAGCATGTTTCGATGCAATGATACGGAGGCATGGATTTGAAGGCATCCTGCCGTTGCGGTTCGGCAACATCCCTTGCCAAATACTATGGTTTCGGCATTGCAAGGCCTGATAATTTTCAAACGGGCTTTCGCATCGCTTGCAAATAGCAGGGTTCTTGCCTGCATACTCGAAGGGACAGGGCCTCCTGAGGAGGCGGTGTTGTTGTGGGCGATGCGTCTTGCAAACGCATCAGTTCTATATGGCTTATGATTTTGGTTTGCCCCTGGGAGCATGTAGGCATGGGCCTTGCAACTGCAGAAGTCACGGGCCCAAAAAGGCGTGGCATTTGGACGAATCTGAGTCTGGTGGCCTCCTCACCATGGCCTGAACGCTTAGAATGCCTTCAAACCAAATTGACTCAAAAGGAAACACAGTGCAATAATTTGGCCCGTTTGCCTTGGCAAGTGCCAAGCTTTTTTGGTGCCTTCTCATTTCTCCGGTCGACGGACCTCCTTTTCCTCGTGCAACAGTGTGCTTGCGCGCCGGACCGAAGGGCGCTGGGCCCAAAGACAACGGCCTAGGCCCTTGAAAGCTTTGGACCATGTACAGACGAAAGGAGTTCAGCGCAGCGGTTGTGGATCATCTAGTTTTTGCAAGGCCAACTGGTAGGGTCAACACTCTTCAGTGACGCATTCGGATAGCTTCGGCGGGCACGCGAGGTTTCTTGTTGTTGTAATCTACGTTTCTCACGACGAAACATCATTGGGTGACCTTATGGAGCCAGCAAGACTTAACACCTAGCAAGCCTACCTCAACATGAGCACTGCTGGTTTCTCTTTTCGGGACCTGGGAACTCATTTTGCGAGTGCACCGCATTGAACTCCTGGATTTAAGAACAGTATGTGGGAAGTGAAATGAACGAGGGTGTCCTCGTTTCAGACCCCTTTGGACCAAGGGGAAGCCGCTGTGTTGCCCGCGTTAGATGCATGCGCTCACATGGCGAAGGCTCTGAGAGCGCAAAAGAATGCGACATGCCGCAGCAGACGCCAGAGACGGACCGTGCTTTTTCGACCCCCAACCTGTTTGTGTTTGCAATGGTGGTGAGGGATCCAGTTCCATTTTGCTGAAACTGCCAAATGAAGAGACACATTTGGAAAAGGACAGTGCTGAAGAAACAGCATGAAAACCAATGACCCCAAACCACTACACCTGCGAGAGAACAGGTAAAACAGTGCGAAGGAAAATGGAGGCTGTTCGCGCCATTCTCGTAGCCTTGCTGCCGTTCCTTGCAGGTAGCTGCGGCTTGGAATCGAGCGCCAGGTCAACGGCCTCACCGACGCGGAGGGCTGGCGCTATGCCCGGCACTTCGGCCGCGAGGCGCCCTGGAGGCGGGCAACTTGCAGGGGTTTCGACGGTTTGGGCGCAGGGCGCCGTTCTTTTCGATGGGTGGAAAACCCCAAACAACGAGTTGGCGGAAACAAATCCACCCATGTAGAGGATGTCCACCAGAGGATTTCCAAGTAGCACTCCTTCACATTTCTTGACTACCCTCCCACCCAGTGACATGAAAGCTGACTGAAGGGTCCCTAGTTTGGTCCGTTTTCCTCCAAAAGGCCTTCTGAACAGTTTCCATGTTGGTCGGTGGGAGGGCAAACTCAGGGAAACACCTGAGTTTAAGTCTACATTGTCATCAAGAAATGGTGTCCCAACTGGTTCGGACATACTGTTTACACACCAATATCTTTTGTCCAGGGGTACTGGACAAGGTTGAGCCGAGTCAAGCCCTTGAACTGGGCCCCTTCCTTTTACCTCGTCAGAGTTGTTCAGGAAGCCCTAAGACAGAGAGAACGAAAGGAACTCCTAAAATTGGTTTGCTTGGCTTTGTGCTTCGGGAAATCGAACAAAAGGTCCTGAAGTTAGGTCATGGTCACCGGACTAGGCTTTTCTTGCTTTCCGGCTTGAAGCCGAATTGTGGAATTGGCGAGTGCCACCAATCGGAGTGTTTGGTCCGAACAGCTTCCAAAAGCTTTGGGCCGCCCTCGCACCTTCTAAACTTATAAAAGAAGGGATTGTGTTCTTTTTTTTCCCCTTGCTAAGCCGAATGTTTGCCTTGGTCTGGTTCAAGCAACTTGAATCTTGCAAGGGTTGTTTGACCACATGAGCGAAACGCAGCGAACTTACCGGGGCTAAAGCGAGCTTACTCGTAGTAGCGTTGTTGGTGAGCTCGTAATTTCCATCTGGTGAAATATAGCAATGACAGCTTGTGGCTAACTTGGAGGATCACACTCATTAGACGGATCCCCGGACGTAGATATATTTTCACTAATAGGCCGGCGCACCGAACCAGCCTCTTTTGGCTCTGAATTCGATTATTCCTTCACTACGAGGGGAACCACCCTCCAAGGATCCAGGGGGCCATCCAACGCAGACATCATTTTTGTCTTTGCGCGGACCGCCAGGAATACCTTCCAGCCCCAGATGTTTGTGCGTCGAAGGTGCTATGCTGGAGGCCTCAGAGTACAGGCTTTTTGTGGTCCCAGGCAATCTCTAAATTGCTCGTAGGTCTTGGTTTCCCGTTAAAGCAACTTCAAAAAGGGTATCCCAAAAACGGCACGCCAGGGCTTCCTGCTTGAAATCATTCAAAGGAGGGTCCCCGGCTTGAGACATGTTGCAGCATTGGTGACTTCACAAATGACTCATGTTTCAACATGGGAACGACCCAGCCCTAACGATGAATTCCTGAATGTTGGCTAGCATGACCCGCTGATCAACTGGGTCTCGGCCTTTATTTGTGTCTTTTTGTTCCAGTGAAACAGCCTCAAACCTAAGATTGTTTAGAGCTTTTCGGCTGGGCTTACTACTGTGAATGAAGAAAGTACCTCCAACGGGGAAGAGATCCTTTACGACTCTCTATGCTGCCCAACAAAGCACATCTTTTTGACAAATCAAACATAAACTCCACTTGCGACTTGCGGACTGTCCAAGACTGGAGAATGGTGTATCCGGTTCGCACGGGATTTGATCATGATGGTACACGTGCAAGGCCCAATGCTTACCAGCCTTTGTAGTATTGGGGTGGGTCATAGGAGGTAGTACACTCAACCACCTGTCACAGGCAAGAGAAAAGGATGGCTCACCCAACTCCTCTGGCATGAGGGGATACAACAAATATGGCGTAGGGCCTGGTTGGCTGATCCCGTCCCCAGTGCGACAGGTTTTGGGAATGGGCGACCCCGGCCCCCATGGAGCCGTTTTTGACGATTCCGTCTATTCTAAGGGTGGTACGAGCTCATTATGATGTAGGTCATCAACCTGGGGAGCCCTTCCTGATTTCGAGTTGCATACTGTTCGTTTTGTTGTACGATTGGAACTTTGTTGTAATTTTGGAAGTTGTTGTCATTGCACACGATTTGTTTTTGATGCCCAGGTGGGTCGTCCCCTCAACGAGGTCCGCGCAGACGTGGGCCTTTGGCACTGGCGATGGACGCCGTATTTTCGGGCAATAATTGGTGCAAGAGTACAACAGTAGCAGGATGGTAGACGGGGTTTGAACAACAGTGATTGAAATGCTTAAGCAACGGGCTTGGAATTTACGTGGTGACAACTCTCTAAATCTCTCTCCCTCCCTCTTTCCCTCCCTCTTTCCCTCCCTCCTTCCCTCCCTCCTTCCTTCTCTTCCTACTTCCTTTCTTCTCTCCCTCCTTCATTCTCTCCCTTCTTTCTGTCTTCTCTCCCTTCTTCCTTCTCTCCCTCCTTTCTTCCTTCTCTCCCTCCTTTCTCTCCCTCCTTCCTTCTCTCCCTCCTTCCTTCTCTCCCTCCTTCCTTCTCTCCATGCTTCCTTCTCTCCCTCCTTCCTTCTCTCCCTCCTTTCTTCTCTCCCTCCTTCCTTCTCTCCCTGCTTCCTTCTCTCCCTCCTTCCTTCTCTCCCTCCTTTCTTCTCTCCCTCCTTCCTTCTCTCCTTCCTTTCCTTTCTTCTCTATCTCCTTCCTTCTCTCCTTCCTTCCTTTCTTCTCTCCCTCCTTCCTTTTCCTTCTCTCCCTCCTTCTTCCTCGCCTTCCTCCCCTCCCTCCTTCGCGTGTGTTTTTTCTTCTCTCTCTCTCTCTCTCTTTCGCTACTTTAACGCCTCCGGCTCAGACCGCCGACGCTGTAGGCCTGATTTCTTGTGTGTGTGTGCGTACAAGTATTTCCTCAGTATTCCCCGAGTATTTTCCGAGTATTCACCCTTAGTACTTCCATAGTATTCCCTTAATCTTCCCCTGAGTATTTCCCTAGTATTCTCCTTGTACTCCCCTAGTTTTCCACCAGTATTCCCGTATTCCCTCTGTGTTCTCCTAGTATTTCCTTAATTTTGAGCATTCTGTTGGTAGTTTCTTGTTATACCCCTAGTATTCTCTCAGTATTCCCCTAATGTTCCCTCAATACTTTGCTAGTATATCGATAGTAATTCCATAATATTCTCATAGTATTCACCCTTAGTATTCTCCTAGTATTCCCGCAATAGTCCCTGTTATCCCCTCGGTCCTCCCCTAGTATTCCTTTAGTATTCTCTTGGGATACCCTAGTACTCAGTGCGGGGAAAGTCGAACACCCCAAGGTTTTCAAGCAACCGCGTCCCGCGCCCCCAGCCACCCCTGCAAAGTCCAGGAAGGGGTAACAGGTAAGGAGCATTTCTTGTTTGCAATGAGCTTTCTGTGTCGGCAGATTTCTCTCTTTCTCTCTTTCTCTCTTTCTCTGTCCTTCTCTGTCTTTCTCTGTCTTTCTCTTTCTCTCTCTTTCTCTATCTTTTGCTCTCTTTCTCTCTTTCTCTCTTTCTCTCTTTCTCTCTTTCTTTCTCTCTTTCTTTCTTTCTTTCTTTCTTTCTTTCTTTCTTTCTTTCTTTCTTTCTTTCTTTCTTTTTCTTGTAATCTTCACGGCATCCTGTCTCTTCGTAGTTTTTTTTGGGCACTATGTCGCTTTCATAGAGGATTTGCCTCTTCCCAAGCCGACCCCAGTCACAAGTGCTTGGAACACTTCAAGATTGTCAACACCTAACCGGTTGGAAGGAGAGCCAACCTTAGGTTTCACCTGCCCGCGAAGTGTGGCAAGATCTCCATCCGGGTGATCGGTTTCCTGTTTTTGCTGGGTCTCTTAAACTGAACATGTTGAGGGGTTGACACGGCCTGGCCAGGGCAAGCCCTCCAAGGAGCCTGCCAGCTTCTCAGGCACGCTCATAGGAAAGAAGTCGGGAAGCCGGGAAGCTGTGACTCCAGCCGTTGCCTAGAACATGTTGAAACCGCACCTGCAGCAAGGGTCTCTAGTTGACCATAAACCTTGCAGACTGATCCAGTCACTGAACAGACGACCCTTCTGAAGAAGAATCCCATGAGAGCGGCCATCGGATCTGTTGATGGCACACCGGTCTCTTGTGGGACCCGTTTCTGGATCAGTCGCCTTTCGCGGGAATACCCGAGGACGTTTAAACGTTTCTCAACCGCCCATCCGGCTTCTTGGGAATCCCTTCATTTAGGTTGGCGAGCGGCAATCTTGAGATATCATTTAGCGACACGTTCTGAAAAAGATACAGCCACTTGCATGTCAGCTGCAATAATCTGAAACCCAGCTGGCATGTGTTTCAAGGACCACGGGTCTGGGCCATTGGGGTAAGCTGATAACAGAATCCTTGTTGGTTGGAAAAGAAGGAAAGAACCGGGGGGAAACGAGGAACTGGGAAGAGGGGGAAGAATGCCACTGAACAACTTGGGAGGACGCCCCACCATCAAAGATGCTTGAGTAGCTGAGGAGAAAGCAGACCTCTCCAGGGCTTGCACCAACGAGTTGGAGGTACATATCTCCGAACACCCTAAGACTCTGTAGCTTACTCTAGCCCACTCAGATTGGCTGGGGCAAGCCAGCGGCATAGCCAGCTCCCAATCCTGGAGCTTCACAAAACACATGTGGTTAAAGATCCGGAGTCAGATCAAACCGCTCTTACAGCAAAGGCCTTTTTAAGGTGTTTGCCTACCTCAGTTGGGACGGTTAGCCGCCCTTCGATGTCTACCTTGAGTACCCCCGCCTCCCCCCCGAAAACCAGGGGTTCGTCTTTTTTCCCTTCCTTTGGGGTCGCTTCCTGGTTCTGATTCGCAGCTTCGCTCCTCTCTCGGCGGGTATCTCCCACACTTCCTCGTTTTTGCTTTGTGGGTTCGGACTACATATGAGTTTTTCCGTCGCGTGAGCGATTAGAAAATATTGCTTCTTAAATGTGGATCTACTCTTTGTGTGCATTGACGCGATGCTGTCTGATGCGACTAGTTCCAGTGGCTCTGGGCTCGTGCCGCTGCAGGCAGCGCGCCCTTAAGACAGCTACCTCGTGGTATCTCGGAAGCTGTGAGAGGCTTTTGGAAACTCGCCAACACGAAAGCAAACGTCGCCCTGGAGATCCCCGGAAGCACGAAGATGAGAACTCCACAGTGGCAAGGCGCCGAAAATTGACGCCAATTCGAGCCGGCCGAGTGCTTGCTGCTGTCGCCGCCAGTGATAACAAAGGGCGCAATGTAAACGGCGCAAAAGGGCGGTTTCGGTCAGACAAGCGCTTGCGTCCGAAGCTGCTTCGCCAGACGCTCCCAAACCACTAGGTGGAACAGACAAGGATGCAGACATGATAGATGCCGACCGCCAACGAACCGAACAATCTTGCACACTGATGACGGCTGAGAGGAAAAAAGCCCGGGCCAACCATGGCGGGACCGATGAGCTGGGTGGACGGACCGTGTTTGACAACAATCGCCGCCCACCTTGCCCTTGCCCTGGTCATCTTCAAGTGGATAGACCAAGAGTGGCAAGAGCCGGTTGTCATATAGCCTGTAAATGAGCAAAAGGCCAACCGATTCACATCCTCCGTTACACCACACTCAAAACGTCCAAAGCCCCGATCCGGTTGAAACCGGCTATCTCCAGTTGATGTGCGGAGGAGGCAAGAGGAGGTGTAACGTCTGTAAAGTTTGCCGAAGCTGGCTACAACGACGCAACGGTGCAACCGTCTTTTTGCAGCTGGCTACCCGCAAGCGCGACGCAACAGTACCACGCGGCTCTGCCGCTCAAGCCAAAAACCACCCAAGAGTGCAGTGCTGCAGGGCCTCATTCTCCGTCCACTTTTGGCTCGGCGCAATTGGGTGGTTGGAGGCCCGGTCTGTCAAGTTTGGCAAGGTTTCGATATTGGTGACGTCGCCACTGGTGGCTGGCGAACGTAGATGGGAAAGCCTCCGCATGACAAAGTTATTGTTGCTTGGCTGTGTGCGAAAGTACGCCTTTTCGACCAGTTCTAAACCTCATACTGGATGTACATTCCGGAGAGCTTTCCCAGCAGCCTTCGGCGCAACTTGCCTGTCCGGTGTGAACTTGGTACTTGTGCCAAGCATCACGCGTGGAGGACACCTGCTTCAAGAAACGATGACCAAACTTGAACATTTGCATTCTTTGCTGTGTTGTCGTTGGATGAACCTTTTAGCATTTTAAAGTTTCATCTCCAGCCTCAACCACTTTGCTCCCTTGTACGCTTAAGTTCCACTTGTACAGCCCATATTGCCCAGACTCCCTACCAACATTTTGCCTCAATACGGCAGGAGCGCTCGCCATTTGTTTTGGTTTCCGGTTTTCGCGCCACATTTCAATTTTCCGGGTTCTACACTTCATAACCGCCAAAAGTTGAAAACGTATGTTTTTGCTTTCTTCTCAACCTTGACACTTTCAGGTTTCCTCCCCAACCCCGCCCTGTTTCAACTCCTTGCATTTGACCCTGTTGGCTCCTGTTGGAACTTGTTGCTTTGCGTTCAAGCCAGCCCATGACTGCCTAAGACTATATTTGCTGCTGTGCTCTCCTACCTTTCGCGTATAAGTAAAACTCTACAAGCTAAGCGAAAAGGGTTCCCGAGCAAGGTTTTGGTTTCAATGAAAAGTTTCGATGTATATGGACCAGTGCAGCCTGTCTTCCAAGATATGAAACCATTGCGGTCGTACGGTCATCAGAATAAATGGGTTTTCCGTTGTGCAGGGCACACCGATTGGACCCCTTGTGTGAGAGCCAGGCGCCGAGGAGCCCCCGCGCCAGGCGCGAAACTGGTGGATCCCACACAGCGGCCGGTCTTACCTTTATTTATTTGTTTATTTATTTATTTGTTTTAATTTGAAAGCAACCCCAAAAGGAAGAAGAGGACTTGCCCAGTTGGGAGGTTTAGGCCATGGCTGCAAGAGGACCAGGCCCTGCTACCACATGTGCAACCATGGTCATGTGTTGAGGCGTTTCGTCCCCCTTGTCGGTTTCAAAGGAAAGTGGTCTTGACTGATGAATGTTTCATTTTGTCAACGGACACCTTCATTCTAAGGGCATCTTGTCACCCAATAATTGCGCACTTCCAATCTACAAAGTTCTTTGAGGGAGTTTCTTTACGTGCTTTGGGGTGAGGAGCAACACCTGCTGGGTCCAATACATATTTCCAAGATTTCACAGAACTGTTCAACTGGCGCCTGATAGTATCTGGTCACGTCCCGAACCCAGAAAGCGGCTTTTGCTTGTAGTCATGTGCGAGTTTCTCCAGTTACTCGCTGGACCAGCTAGCTAAGCAGACCAGGACTCAGCTTCCCTTTGCTATCCTTCTCCAATGCTGTTCTCAGGCGTCTGCATCCAGGACGCCCAGGCCCTCGCACTAGCCTCAGGCGCTTGAGTTGCCAAGGGGTGGCCGTTTTGATGCTGGTTGGCAAAGGCAGCCGGGGGGGGGGTGATAGACTGCTTGTAGTGGGGGCGGTGATTTGCCCATGTGCGACTCCGAGGCTTTCGCCGGATGCCGTACGCCGGGAGCCCAGAAGCAGGCTGCGCAATCTGCAAAGCTTCTTGGGCACGGGTTTGGACGGTCGGTTTTCTAGAGGGGTTGCCCGGCAAGGTTTGCGAAGTGTTGCCTTTGAAAGTTGAGCAAGGCCACGGTCCAGTCTTTGCTCCCAAGGGGGAAACAAGTGCTGGGCTGGTTTTTTCCGGTCTCTGTTCAAGCGCAAGCCTGATTTGACGGCATCCCTTCGGCTGAACTTTGCTGGACTCTCAGCTGCCTGCATTGCTATACCCCTGAAGCTCCACATAATAGTATTGTCTGCGTCCTAAGATAGGGGGCCCTCTGTTTTAGTAATGGGACACTCGCAGGGAACCATCATACAAAGGCGGGCCCTGTCCAGCCCACATACCGTTGTTTTTGGGTAAACTGATAGCAGGGTCAAGGGGATTGTCCAGTTGATTGAGGTAAACCTCAATTACACCTCAGTACAAACAAAGGTTCTTGATCCAGCCCCACAGATGGACCTTCTGAGCTTATGGGTCTGTGGATTCCCTCAAACAAGTTGAAGCAAAACGATGCACGGCGTGTTGGAAATCGCTCCTCGTCTTCCAATGTCGTGGTATTCCGACTGAGACCCCGTGGCGCTTGTGCCGTGCAGGTGGGAGACTACGAAAAAGTATAGTTGTGTATATACCTGCCTACCCACATACCTACCTACCTACCTACCTACGTACGTACGTACATACATGCATGCATACATACATACATACATACATACATACATACATACATACATACATACATACATACATACACACATACACACATACACACCTACACACCTACACAAACACATACACATACACACATACACACATACAAACACACACACACCCCTATACACACATACACACTTACACACATACGTACACACATACACACACTTGAACTCCAGATGGAGAGTGCTCATCTTTCGAGTACAACTGATGAGTCTCGAGTACAACTGATGAGTCTCGAGTAAGATAAGTTTCGGCTCACGATGCACTCGGCTTCCCTCTAGTGACGAAAGCGTTACAAGATTCAACATGAAGCACACACAGCGAGAGAAACAACGGGCCAAAAGGACTTTGCACAACCATTGCAGGTACACAGCTGGACGTCTCCAACTGCTTCACCAGGGTCACGAGAGTGTCTTCGTTGGTGGCAGACTCTCGGCCCTGCTGCCACCCCCTGCTGCAACAGAAAAGGGTTTTGGTGGCAGGGTGTTCTGCCACTCCGCACACACACGCCCCTCTACGAGGGGCGAGGTTTCTCTTTTTTCTGCAGGAAGATCACATGCTCAAACTCGAATCTCTATCGTTGACCAAAATATCCTCCACGGCGAGGGGAGCGAGACACCGCCCTAAACCGCTCAGAAGACGGGAACGAGAGATCACCACGTTGAGCGTTGCGAGTGTCGCCATAGAGGACTGAAGCGATTTGCGAAGCAGCCGGGCGATCACCATGAGAAAACGGAGTGGCGTAGGTGAAGGTCTCCTCAACTGGAACGGCATCGGAGTTTCGAACTTGACCAAGAGATTGATCATGTGGATAATGAGTTGCGAAGGACTCAATCCGAGACAGAATGCGCTGGTACCCTTGATGTTGCCAGTCACGGATGTCCCATGCCTGGACTGGCGCATTGGGATCAGTCACCCGCTGCCATTCCCGAAAAGAATTTTCAGGTAGATCAGGTACGGCGTCACCGCGGTGCCATCGTTGAGGCTGTCCTGGAGTGTATATCCGCACCCACTCCTGATCCTGCCAGACCGAATATTCGAGCCATGGGTGCTGCTTCGAATCATCGATGTCCATGTCGAAGCAAGAGGCAAGGATTGTCGCGGGCTCCGATCCAGCTAGTAGATGAACAGGCACCATGCACAACCATGTTCAAACAACAACCAAGCAAGATCATGCAAGTGTAGAGACCACCCTTATTTTGTACGCTGCGCTGCTCATGCGAGTCTAGTCCTCAGTCAGCTCGAAGACGGGACTCGTCTTGTCTCCGCCACTGTCGGAAGGATTCACGGGCCGGTAGGGCTCGGAGACCCCAATCGTCTCCGATGGTGTGTTTCCACGCGATGCACGTACTGGTTGATGAGGATGGGAAGCTTGACGTGCGCGAGCCGTCAGTTGTTGAGAAATCCCCTCCTGGAGACGAGTCAGTTCTTCAGTAGAGAAATCAGCCGCATCCGAGGACCTGAGAATCGCGTCTAACAGCTCCGGCGACATACTCAATGCCGCAGACTGCGTGGCCACGCTGTGATGATCAGGGAGATACATGGAATCAAATTCATGACCAGCGTGAGGGGCAGCGACTCTCCGATAGCCCTCTGTGGCCCAGTCTCGTTTGTACCACGTAGTGACTTGGACCTGCCCACCGACTGAGTCCTGGTTGGGAGCATAGAACTCCCTCCATTCTCTAAAAGTATGCGGAGGAGGTGGAGCATCATGTTCTTCTTGTGGCGTCCATGGTCCCGGATGAAAGATCTTGACCCACTGGGCATCTGGTTGTTGAGGATCCGGGCACCATTCCAGCCACGCCATGACAACGCAACCACGGAAAGACAAGTTGATAGGTGTACGGCTGCAGACAACAACGAGTGAAAGCGAAACAACTATCATAATGCAAAAGACCACTTTTGTAGCACTGCGCGGCTCCAGCATCGAAGTCAGTCTCCCGAATCGAATTGAACTGAACAGACTCTCCAGGAAGGCGAGGACGGGCATCAGCCATCATGTGAATTAGATGATGCCGAGGAGGAGGTCAATCCAGCATACATGAGGTCCGGTGCACCCGAAGCGAAAACTGGCCTCGCTATGCTGGGATGTGGACGACCCAGGCGTTGGTACCCCCTGGTGACCCAGTCCCTGTAATACCAAGTGTAGAAGGTGGCGTAGGATACCGGTTGCAAAACCGTGCCTGTGGTTGTACCGCCTGTGCTTTCCCTGGGCCAATACACTTCGAAGTGGTGGACCTTGCGCCATTCCCGATAGGTGGTCGGGTCATCCGGGGCCGGTCCCAGGGTGTTAGTGGCTACTGGATGCCACTGACCCGGTACATAGATCCGAATCCATTCCACACTCGTTCCTGCTGGCCCATTGACGATGTCGTAGTCAAAATAGCGAGGTAGGACCCATCGTGCTGCACCATGCACTGTACTATTGAACATTTCAACCCGACAAGCTGCTCAAAGTTATCAAGGAAAGCGGCGAACACATAGAGACGGCATGCACACCACCAAGCAAGACAACCCAATGTGGACTCACATACAAAGCAAGCACAACCGCATCTTTATCCAACATGCTACTCAAGTGTCACTCCGAATCATTCCAAGGATCATGGAATGGTGGCGGTGACGGTTCCCGCCACGCCCCATCCGGTACCGATGAGCCCACCGAGGACTCGACGTCTGCATTCACGAGCATCGCGAATCCGATGGATTGTACAGGAGCTCCAAGTCGTTGATACCCTCGTGTTTGCCAGTCTCGGTACTCCCACACGTGGTAGGACACATAGGAACTGGGCGTGACTATGGGATCCATTGTGGTGCCTCCGGTGCTGTCTTCAGACCAGTACACTTGGAAGTGATATGATCTGCGCCACTCCCGATACGTGGAAGCGTGAAGTGGGTCAGGAACTGGCGCCTCATCGGGAACGGGTCTCCAAATGCCCGGAGAGTAAATTCGAATCCATTCCACTCCTCTATCGATCTGGTACTCGAAATACTGGGGGTTCATAGCAGCAATACAGGCTCGCACGACTGCTAAACTAGTCGAAAGTCTGCGGCAAGGACACACATGCATTGCCAACCGCGCACATCCGCTGGAGAGTGAGGCAACTTTTCAAACTCAAGGTGAAACACAGCAACGAGGTCTGAAATGTCCGACTCCTAGGTTTCACTGTCGTTGATGTCGCGCACACCTGCAATGATAGTGTCCTGGTCGTCTGCGAGCACAAGGGGAAAGACATTTCCGCCCATGGCGCAGGATGGCATGACAGTAATGCTTGCAAGTTGCCGATGGGGACTGCGATGGACGGCCAGCACGTTTGGAAGAAAACACTGTAAAGGGCCGTCGAGATCGCCGCGGCGCTGAAGCTGATGCTGTCCGAGATCGTTTGGACGAGCGCCCTGGACTGCGTGGTTCTTCATCACGGGAAGGGTCAGTGCTGTAGATCGAGCGGCGTGTGCGCTGCGATTTCGAAGAGGTAGGGCAGGATTGTCCGCGAGGGGCTGAGATCGAGGGGCTGCGTACCGAGGGCATAAACTGTGGGTGTAGAATCACCGGTGGTGGTGGTGGTGGTGGAGGAGGAGGTGGAAGAAGCAATGGCAGACTTGGCGGGGGCGGAGGCGACGTAGTCAGCCGAATGGGTCTGTCGAGTAAAGCCCCGGGTCCATGAAATTGTAACCACGTCGGCTGCGCTCCATGGGTCCAGGTAATGTACGTCTGTACAACTTGTTCCGACATGATTTGAGCAACTCAGGCATGACTTCACTGCATGTCAACGGCATCTCCCAAAACGACAAGCAAGAGTAAGTCACGTGCAAGCAAGCAAATATCATGTGATCAACAACTAGAACCGGACACACCGCCGCAGCTCACCATTTAGTCCTCCGATGGTCGCTGCTGCATTTGACGACCGTGTTCCTAGCCGCGAGCCTCAAGTTGTTGATAGACCTTCCATGCCTGCTTGACTTCCTCAATCGGCTTCTGAAGAAACCGAGCTATGGTCTTATAGGTGGGCCTGGAATCCTTGTCTTTCTTCCGTCTCACCATTTCATCCAGCTCACCCTGTGTCCATGCCGTGAAGGGTTCACGGTATGCATTGCGAAGTGCAATGGTGAATTCTTGTAGAAGTTCCCTAGGACCATGAACCACCGTAGGCGACGGCCGGAACGACGAGGCACCTGGATGCGGACGTACCGAACCATCAGAATCCGAATCAGGTGTCGTAGGCGTCGTCTGTCCTGGCTCTCGGCCACCGTGTGCAGCGAAGGGAG